TGGGCCTCCTCCCCCGACAGGTGCACCAGGAGTGCGAGCGGCTGAAGGCCCAGCTCGCCGAGTCGATGCGGCAGCTGTCCGCCTCGCAGGGCGCTCGCGCCCGCGGCCCGCGCCTGCTGCGGCGACGGCCGTCGACGACGACGAGGGCGACGGGCGAGGACGGCAACGGCGAGGGCGACGACGACATCCAGGCGGCGACGCCGTCCAGGGCGGCGGCGGCGTCGGCGGCATTGGAGCCGGCGGCGGCGACGTCGTCGGCGGCGGCGACGGCGATGACCTCGGTGTCGAGGGCGACGCGGGCGACGGCGGCGGCGACCACGGCGGCGACGACGATGACGACGACCGCGAGGACGGGGGCGGGGATGGCCACGCCGGCGAGCCGGAGTAGTTTGAAGTTCGAAACAGCCGGGCAGGGGAGGGGAGGGGGGAGATGGAGGAGCAGGAGCAGTAGGGGAGTGAGGAGGAAGACGGGGGGGATGATGGAGAAGCAAGGAGTAGGAAGGACGGCGAGGGGGAGGAAGGGGGCGACGCGGGCGCGCGGATTCCTTTCTTCCTAGGGGGAATGCAACGGTGGGGAGATGAGGGGGATGAGGTCGGGATGTGGACTTGGTATCCCTCGGACATGTGCACTTTCTGGACAGGGCCAGCGCCAGAAGTTCTGGACCATCTAGGAGCGTCTCTCAGAGGAGCATGAAGCATTGATGTGGGTAGTTTTCCAGAGCTCCAGGTTTCCCGTCCTTCCGCGCTGGCTCCAGGGACGAATGGTCGAGCGCATTCCGTCGCGCAGGTTCTTTGCGCGATGCGCGCGGTGCATTTTCGCGCCCATCGGAGCGCCCGTCGGACATTCCAAGCTGCATTATGTTGTGTGTTTGGGGAGACCGCGAGTCGCAGCTGCCGTGGCGTGATTTTCGAGGCACACCCCTCCGAGTGCTGTTTGTGGGCGCAGGGTGCGGCGCGTGCTGCGCCCAATCGCGGGCGGCGCGGCGCGTGAATCAGCTGGTTGCGCCCGTCAGACCGACCAGGAATTGCTTCCGGATTGTAGAACGTTTCCAACATGTGCGACCTCTGTTGTTGCAAAAGCGGTTCCCGAAATTTCCCCAAAAGGAGTCTGACAATTTTCAATCAACAGTTTGGAGGGGTGGAATGCGCCCTCCGCGCAGGACATTTGAATCTTGTTTATATAAAAAAGAGAATTTGAAAGGTTCAAAATGGATTCTGGAATTTTTCAAGATCGATTCCATCCATCCAGAAGTAGGCCAGACATGTTCATAAACGTTTTGGGGGTTGTTTTCAAATCTACCTTGAGAGAATTTTCCTGGGTCGCGCGTGATTCGATTCACCAGCTCTTTGGGAATCCGCCAGGGCGCGCAGTGCGCGGCGGCGGGCGACAAGGCGGTGCGCCACCGTCCCCCCCGCGCGCGGCAACGAGAAGGGGGATCAGCAAATGCCAAATCGCCCCCCATACGGGCGACAACTCCATTGCGAATGGGTGACCGACAGCGGCGCCAGGAAAAATAGTCAATATCCGACGCAAATTGTACCCCGCGAAAAGGTTGTTCGAACTCCAGGAATCCCCGGAACGTATCAATAACACATTGTGCCACTCTATTGTTTTCGCCCTAGTACCGGATCTTCTTGGGCATGATGAGCACACACGTAATCAATAACGCAATGAAATTGGCGTCTGAACGATGGGAAGCGCAGGGGTGATGATATCAGATGAAGCAGAGCCTCCTCAGGCGATCGCAAACATGGATCAAAGGGGGCGCGGATTAGCGACGGGTCCCATTTCCAGGGCCGCATTTGGGGGAGGGCACCTCCCCCGATCCACGGATTTGGCGACCGCGCGCCAAATTCATGGATCGCTAATCCATTTTTGCGCTCCCCCGAGGAGCCCTGAAGACGGTTCGTCAAGGCCTGGTCAAGGCACCTCCCATACACCTCACCCGCCCTCCGCGCCTTTCGCGCAGAGGCGTTCCCCCGTGCTTCCACCGAGGGGAGGTCTGCCTCCGTGAGGCCAAACGCCCGACGTGTGAGACGTTGCCATCGTCTTCGTCTCCGTCGTCGTCGTCGTCGTCGTCGTCGTCACCGTCGTCGTCCGTCCCAAGAACGTGAAACAACGGACAGAGAAACGGAACGCCGTAGTTGAGTCCATTCCCTTCCCCTGCAGCCAACGCGCCTAGCAAGGACGCGCGGCGCCTTCATCCAGGGTGCCTTTGTGTGGACTTGCCTCTGCGGCCAATCCTCTGCTGTTTCCACGGGCCTCTCACTGGGTAGGGACACCCTTTCGCCCCTGGGGGGGTGGTCGCCCGCCGCCCCCCGAGCGATCCCACACTTCGGCCTCACGGGGTCTTGCGCCCTCCCCTCCCGTCCTCAACGCACGTTTGGATTGCAAGCGCGCGCGGCATCATCAAACAGCGTGGGGGAAGGGACGCCCGAGCGCTGGCCAGCGAAGGGTCTTGAGGGAGGGCCGAGGCCCAGGAGAGGCCGTGAGCGGGGGGCCCGCGGAGAGGGAGCACCGGCGGCGGCAGAAACAACAGGCAGGACTTGGGCAAGAAAATCAAGACGAGCTGGAGGAAAAGGGGAAAGAGGAGGAGGAAGAGGAGGAAGAGGAAAACCTGGAGGAGAAGGAGATCTAGAGGAGGACTTGGAGAAGGAGGGTGGCTTGGAGGAGGAGGACTCGGAGAAGGAGGAGGACTTGGAGGAGGAGGAGAAGGAGGAGGAGGAGGAGGAGGAGGACTTGGAGGAAGAGGAGTGGGAGGAAGGGGAGGAGAACGCTTGCGGGATTACGGGATCACGACCCCTGCAAACGTGGTGGCTTTCTAAGCAGCCCCTTAGGGTCGCAGGAGCAGCACGAGCCTCAACACTCCCAGGACATGGCCGCCGGAGGAGCACGAGCCTTCGCGGCTGCACGCTGCCCCTGAGACGCAGGAGGAGCACGAGCCTCCCCATCCCAGGGCAGCATTCAGCATTCCCGCCCCAGGGCGCTGGAGGACCGCGAGCCTCTCTGCGCCTTGGGCTGCGCAACGGAGCCCCCCTCGGCCAACGCTGGCTCAGAGGGCTTCAGCGGTCAGGCCGTCCGTCTCTCCATGTCGGGCATTTCCTCTACAGGATGAATTTCCAATTACAATTCAATACCTAGTTTGGGGACGACTTTTCTAGTATGCCTGTATATGTTTGATCACGTTTGACTCTTCTTTTTTTTTCGTTTCCGCCTGCAGGAGGACATGTCCGACCTAACGCTTCGGCTCTCCTTCGGCTCCCCCGCCGCCTCGACGCTGTCGGCCACCGCCCTGCGCTGTTGCTGCTGCTCGTCGTTGTCCCGCTTACACAACGGTTCAGTCGGGCATGGTCCTCTACACATTGAATATTCAAAAATGGTCCTCAAACTTGTCTGAGGATTAGTTTCTGACTATTCATGAGTATGTTGGCAATACTGTTGATCACTATGATTTTTCTTCCAATTTCCGCCTGTAGGAGGACATGCCCGACCTAACACAAGGGGTCACCAGCAGGCTCCGCCGAGTCCCGCACCCCATACGGGGCCGCTGGTCGCCCTCGCAGCGAAGACGGGAGCCTCAAGCACCGAGTGCCACGTCGGGCCTGTCCCTCTACGGGGGGGGATATCCCAAACCAGTAAAAAGTAGTCTCGGGACGATGTTTTGTCAATTCGTGGGGGGCTATTCTAGAATATTTGTTTGGCTACTTTCATTTTTCGCGCGCAAAAGCCCCGCGGAGGAGGACACGCCCGACCTTAACCGAGTGCCTGACCGCCAGACGCGCCAGCGTCCGCGGAAGCCTCCGAGGCCCCGTCGCTCCTGCCAGCAAGGCCGCCGCCGCTTGCTCGCAGCAGCCGTGGCGGCTGCTGTGGTCAGCTCCTGGAGCTGGCCCTCCCTGCTGGCCGTCTCGCCCGCGTGCGGCTGCCCCACTGCCCTCGCCTCGACTAGACGTAAGAGTGACCTTTCGCCGGAGTGACCCTTGGTGCGGGCACAGATGTGTCCCCAGATGGCGGAAAACGAAGCAGGAGCAGCGGCTTGCGCGCCTCGGTTTGGTCCCCCCGCGGCCCCCCCAAAAGCCGCGCACCAAAGGTCACTCTTACCCAGGGTCACTCTTGCGTGTAGCCGATCGCCTGGCACTCATCAGAGGCAGCCGTCCTCAGCAGCTGGAGAAGACCACCGTGCCGCAGGTCTCACAGCGCGCTGTCGGACCCGAGCCTGTGCACCACGGCGGGCGCAAGCACGGGGGCCTCCGCGTTCCACACGCACTCACGCAGGCCCGCATCTTCACCCCCATTGCGTTCTGTCGAGCGTGCCCCCCTGCAGGAGAGATCTTTGGGCATAGTAAAAAAGATTGTCTGGGGACGATGTGTGTGTGTACAATTTCGATGTTTGTGTGAAGGTGTCTTGGGTATCTTCAATTTGTCTCCCAACATCCGCCTGCAGGGTGGCATGCCCGACCTAACCCTTGCTTCGCAGACGGCCACGCGGCAGCACGATCGGCGGCCGACCTCGGCGGCGAGGCCCCCACGCGGGCTGCTCTGCCGCAGCGCCGCTCGCCCTGCGCTCTGCGCGCGGCACGTGGCATCGCTCGGACGTGTGCATTTTCTTTCTTGGCGAGGACCTTCGAGGAGCATCCTCGACCATATGGCGAAAAAAAACATGCGCGAAACAAAAAAAACACAGGGAGTGGACTTCCGAGCGATGGCCAGGGCTGGGCCGGTCGCGCCGACGCCAAGGCTCGGGGCTCAAGGGATTCGGGGGCGGCAAAGAGAGGGATGATGACTAGGGGGGGGATACCATGGCGTGGGCCACGATATTTCATTGAGATTCCATGGCGCCCCTTTTCATTTCATTACGTCTCTGGCTCCCCCCTTGGGCCGCGCACATGCCGCCAGCCATGATTTGCACCCCCCTCTTGGACGCCCCCCTCTTGGCCGCCCCCGAGGGACGGGGGTCACGATACGGGGGGGATAGGCATGGGGGGATGCATCGACCCCCAATCGCCCATTGATCGCCGACAGGGGCCCGATGGCCCCAGCCTGCACAGTTGCAGATTCACTCGTTGGGGGCCTAGCGCCGATCTATCGGCGATGCATCGCCGATTCCACGTCGATGCATACCCCCCTATGCCAGTCCCCCCCGATCGTTGCCCCTCATCAAGGGACGGGGGTCAATGCAAACGGGGGTCAGCCTGGGCGCCCGATTTTGCAGGATCCTGCAGAGCCATCGCTGCACTGACCTGGATGAGCGTGCAGGACCCTGCGGGATCCTGCAGGATCTTGCATGGTCCTGCAAGGCCTCACTGACCCGGGTCTTGCGTGGACCCGGGCCAGCGCGTCCCCCAAGGCCCGCTGCGTGCGCACGCAGGGAAACGTTCCTGCGAGAAGCCCGTCGAGGTCGCCCGTCATTCGCCCCGCCGGAACAAGACCTTGACCATCGAATGGCGTAGCTCTCCCTCGTCGTCCTCGTCGTCCCCTTTGCCGTCCTCGGCGTCCTCGTCGTCCACGTCCTCGTCCTCGTCCTCGTCGTCCTCGCCGTCCCCATCGTGCCGCACGGCCCAGCTGGCGTCCTCGTCGGCTCCAGCCCGGGCGACCTGCGCCCTCGCGGGTCGCCCGAGCTGGAGTTCAGGTTTTGCAGCAAGCCAGCTCGCTCACCACCGTCTCCACAGGTTTTTACGGTCGACTCGGTCGCGCGCCGCAGCCGCTGCCGCCTGGCGGCCGCGCCGCCCACATCCGATCGCGGGGGCGAGTCCCGCAGCCATCATGCTCGCGCCGCCCGCCATGCCAGGAGTAAGCGAGCCAGATTGATCCAAAGCGGCTACGGAAGGGGGGAGGAGAAGAGGAGAGGGAGGCGGAGGAGGAGGACGAGACTAGCAGCCAGAAGCGAAGCAAGTGCTCGCAGAGCGCGAAGGTTCATGGGGCACGGGGGATAGGAGGATGTAGAAGAGGAGGAGGAGGCGGAGGAGAATGCGGAGGAGGAGGGGGATGAGGAGGAGGAGGAGGAGGAGGAGAATGTGGAGGATGAGGAGGAGGAGGAGGAGGAGGAGGAGGAGGAGGAGGAGGAGGAGGAGGAGGAGGAGGAGGATGAGCAGGAGGAGGAGGAGGAGGAGGAGGAGGAGGAGGAGGTGGAGGAAGGGGAGGATGCGCAGGAGCAGGGAAAGGAACAAGAGCAGCAGCCTGGAGCAGCAGGCGGAGCAGGGCGAGGACGAGCGGGAGAGGAGCGGAGCCGAAGAGGCAGCAGAACGGCAGCGTCGGGAGGCGGGGGGGGCGGGGCGGGAGGGGCGGGAGGCCGCGCCTCGCCAGGGTCGACCAGGGAGGCCCGGACGAGGTTCGAGGTGGTGAGGGACTCCATCGGCACGTTGGCCAGGCTGTACCAGGATCAAACGACGCGAAGATCGGGACAAAATCGGATCGGGATAACTCGAAATCTCTGAGAATCGGCGGGTTGGGAGGATGTATTGGGCGCCGCGGCCGCTCCAGAGCGTTCCGGAACGCTCTGAGAGCGCTCCAGAACGCTCTGGAGCGATTCATCCCGATCCTAGCCTTGTTTTACAGGAGCAAATCCTCTGCCGCACCCTCGAATGCATCGCCACCTCCGCTCGGCGCGCGCCGAGATCTTCCGGTACGAATGGTTGCGAGTGCGCTGGCGCAAGAGGCGAATCCGAGTCCCTTTCTGAGAAGAGCGTGGGTCTCTGCAGCCAGGCCAGTAGTGGTACGTCTGCTTGCCAGAAGCAGCAGAGGCGGCGCAATCTGTGACCTTCGCGTGCCGGAGAGTCCGAGCAGCCCCGCCGCCTTTGAGAAGGTCTGTTCCTTCGCACTCCCACCCGGCCGCGCCGCCGGCTCCGTCGGCACGCTGGCCAGGCTGTGTCCAGGTGGGCGGCTTCGGTATCAGAGCACGGGAGCCTCAGCGTATCCCCTTTGGCATTTCGTCTTCCAGTTGCGGTGGCGCACGCTGGCGTCTGGCAGCCGATGGGAAAGCGCAAATTTTAGTGTCGAGTAGCGCCGATGAGCGTCGATGAACGCCGACAGTTGTCGATTAGCATCGGTTCGCAAGAGCAGACACGATGGTGATTATCGGAAGCCCCCATGAGTTGACGCAGAAGGATCGGGAGAGTCGGCGGCGGGATCGATGGATGGTTGGGGGCTGGAGGTTTCGGTCAGGAGGAACAACACGCGCCCACACACACACACACACTCCCACACACACACACACACACACACACACCTTCACACACAAACAATCGTCGAATCCTAGGACATGCTTGAAATTTGGGAAGCGGGGGGGGGGGAGACGAACATCCAGAACATGTGAAAGAATGTGGGATATGTGTGTATTTGTTTGTGCGTCCCTGGGCTCAGGCCGGACGAAAGGGGGGGATTGGGAAAGGGGGGGTTACGAAATCTGTTGCATGCAGCTGGTTTCGGCCCCATCGAGGGGCCCATTCCTCGATACATGGCCGCCTCCGGCGCCGGGAGGCGCTGGGAAAATCAGCTACGTGAGCTGATTCTCAACCCCACATTGTGCTATCCCCCCTTTGGGCCCGGCCCGATGGACCCCTTCAGAATCGATCGATGGTTGGGGGGGTGGGAGGTCGCTACCTAGACATGGAGTCGGAGGGGCTGGGTCGGGCGGCGCCCGTGCCGGGGGCGGTGCCCACGAGGGCGCGAGGGGGGCGGCCTGCTGAGAGGGCGGAGGGGCTTCTCGGAGTGCAGGGGCCTTCATGGAGTGCCCCTGGAGCTTCTGAGAAGGTTTCTTCGAAGCTGGGTGGGCTTCTAAGAAGCCAATCCTGCCGTCTCTCGGATCGTGCTTCTGTATAGCATCATGGGCATTATAGCCCCCGACCCCCCCTCCCCCACCCCCTCCCTACAGCGTAACGCCCCTCCCCCCCCAGTGCGCTCCGGGCACTGCCGCGGTGCGCATCGGGCACACGGCGGGGGGGAAGGCGTTACATTATACCCCTCCCCCTGGCCCCTCCCCCCCCCCTCTGTAATGCCCCCTATCGCCGAAAATAAGAAGCGCGCTCTCAGGGAAACAGAAGGCTTGAGTGCCCCAGAACTCGGGTTTGCCGACGCTTTCTGACGGGCGCGCCCTGGATTTTGGCGGCCCAGTTCTCGCGGGATGGTTGCAGCGGGATCTCGCGTCAAATTTCAGACCGGGTCTCGTCGTTTTCGTGACGGCCCCGTCAGGCCCACCCGAGCCCCCTGAGCCCGAGTCTAACATTGCAGGCCCATGCCAAGAAACACCTTGCTTGCCTCCAGGGTGCCCTGGGCTTCTTGGGTTTCGATGGTTTGGCGATGGGCAGCGTGACGCTCCCACACTGGCAATCGATGGACGTCCTGGGGTCCCTGGGCTGGGTTTCGTTTTTGGGAGGCTTCTCGTGGACTGGCCTCCACTGCACTTCTCCCCGATTCTCGGGTGCCCCGCCGCAATCTTGGGCCACCCCCCTCCCCCCTCCTCCTCTCCTCCTCCTCCCTCCCTCCCTCCTCCTCCTCCTCCTCCCCCTCCTCCTCCTCCTCCTCCTCCCCCTCCTCCTCCTCCTCCTCAACCTCGACCCAGAAGAAGTGAAGAGGCTCAAGGAACGCCAGAAGCTACGAGACAGCACGCAGACCTTGCTGGATGGCGCCGAGATCTTCGAGGCAGAGCTCGGCCACCCCAAGTCGGAGGAGACGAGTACGGCCAGCTCCTCCAGCGGCCACCAGTGAGTGCACCCACTGGAGCATGCAGGAATACCAAGAGAAGCATTAGCGAGGTTGTCTCGGAGTGCTACTCTGGGCAAGGTGGACGAGCCCACAGGCAGCCGTGAGATGCATTAGCGAGGTTTCTCGGAACGCAACTCGAGGCTTACAGGATGGGCATCACGGAGTGTCCGCATTGCCATCGCAAAGGCAGGACTATTCTTGAGTCCCGCAGGTACATCGCTGCAGGGAGTCGAAGGGGAAGAAAGTGATCATCCTGAAGTCTACCTGTGTGGTTCCTCGATGGCCCTACCATATACCGCGACTGCCGGTGTGCTTTACCCCGCATACACTTCGAGGCGGATCGGTTGGATACTACAACAGGGTGTCAGAGCACAGATACGACAATGCATGGGACAACTCTCGGCCAGACCGAGAAGTGAGCCAAGCGGGAGAGAAGGGCAGATCAAGTAACATCGTAGAATAAGGGCCCCCCCGGCAACAGTTCGGGGTCACGGGCCTCCCGCCCCTCCCCCCCTCCTCATTTTGAGAGGTCGTGTCGTCGTCTCCCCCCCCCCCTTGGTTTGGGAGCACTGCTAAGCCCGCCGCGCGCCCCCTCCCCTAGGGCACGCGGAAGGGGAAGCAGCTGCTCCCCCCGCACTGACCCGCAGGGACTCGTCAACGTAATGTAGCGAGCCTCTCTTACGGGGCCACTTCGGAGCTCAGCCCTTGAGCAAGGTGGCGTGCCCCGTGCCGGCCCTAGCGAGGAGGCAGGGCTGTTGCACATCCAATCGCAGGGGATAGTGGCAGAAGTGCGTAAGTCATTTGCGCGGGTGTCTTGACGTAGCGCCCCCTTGTGCGGATTGCCTTGTCTTTGTCGTCCGCCTACTCCAGGAGGAGTGTTCCAGAATTGTTGAAATCTATTGTGGTGACGACGATTCGTGCTCTTCTGACTCTTGATGAGCATGTGTTGGCCATCTGGGCATGCCCGTTTTACCACCATCGAGCGCCAGACAGCCGGGACTCCTTGCGTGTTGTTCCTCCTCCTCCCCCTTCTCCGTCATGTCCGCCTCTGGATCATCCGCGCTCTGCTTGTTATTGTTGCCCGTTCTAGCCGTTGGGCCCTTGTTTGGATGGTGAAACAAATGTGCTTCGAGCCACGCTGGAGGCAAAACCGCAAGCGAAACGTGGACGGTCACGAGGGAAATTGGCCTGCAGTCGACCCGCATCATCAGGATGGGCCCCTTTCCCCAGGGCGCCCGTTCATTTTCGCCCCTTGGGCCCATCCTGGGCCACCCTCGCGGTCTTCGCCCCCCTTTGAACACTTTCGAAGTGGCCTCCCATCAAGCAGTAGCGAAGCGTCCTGGCTCGCCTTTAGCCCTACCAAACATTTGTTTGAGAATACGAAGCGTTCTTAGAACATTGTTGGCTGGGATTGTCTTGTTTAAGCACATCGGGTTTGTGTTCTAAGGACAGAGTTTCTGATATTCGAACTTTTTGGCGTTCTAGGAACATTTCGTGGTAGGAGTCTAGGAATGCTGGGACTGTCGGTCCCTGCTCAATTCCAAGGCCTTTGCATCCTGAGCGCGCGTCCTTACAATTTGCGGCCTTGACTGTACCACGGCGAGGGTGGTGGACTCGCGTCGGCGGCCCCAGACCCGACGCGCGACGCCCGGCCACCTTGCCGCGAGGACGAGGGGCCACGCCATAGGATGAAGTCGGGCACGTCCTTCCACAGGAGGAAAATCAAACAAATAGTCACAACAAATACTCTGGGGACGCTTTCGTAACATTTGTTTTGGCTATGTTCGAATATGTTCGGGCTCTTTCCTGCATTCAAACACAAAATTGCCGAACATCCGCCTGTATGGCGACGTGCCCGACGTAAGGGCTACGAATGGGGGCTGGGACTGTCTCCGGGAGGGAAGCATCGAGGTGGGATCGGCGGTGCCTCGCCGAGAGCTCGGCGACGGGCCCCCGATGGCGCATGCGCGCGCTCCTGGGCGGGGTGGGGCCGCCCGGGCCCTGCGGGCGACGAATAGATTCGGGGCGCAGGGGACGGGGGTCAAAAGGCAAACGGGGGGCAGTCAGATCGCCGGATCTTGCAGGATCCTGCAGGGCCACTGGTGCACTGATCCGGGCTTGGGTGCAGGATCCGGCCGGATCCTGAAGGGTTTTGCAGGATCCTGCCGGATCTTGTCGGCGACGAATGGATGATTGGCTGCATCAGTGTAGGCCTCCCAGATGAGGTCCGAGTAGATGGGGTCGGAGGATCCCGCCGCATCCCCGATGCATCGCCGATGTGGCGCGATGCGGAGCCCGATTTTGCCCACGCCGACGTCGCGGATGCGTCGCCGACGTCGCCGATGGATTAGCGATGCGGCGAGGTCCTTCGACCCCATCCAAGAGGCATCTACAAATGGATGATTGGGGGTATTCGGAAGCAAGTCTTGGGAGCCTGGCGTACCCTGTGAATTCCGATGTTCGCGTCGAGTAGCGTCGATCAGCGCTTGGGAGTCGATGGGACAGCGCTGATTTGGCGTCGATCAGCGTCGACTCAGCGTCGATTGCCGTGGACTAGCGTCGGCTGTCGCCGATCTGCAAGAGTCGACAGGATGGTACGGAAGGCTCCCCATGAGTTCCCACCGAAGACGATTGGTCAGGAGGGGAAAAAGGAACAAAAACACAGACGCAATTGATC